ACTGTCTCGTTTATAGGAACATGGTGGGGCTAAGAGCGAGGTTTGGTGCACCATTAACCGGTTTAAACTCCCCAGTAGTCATTATTATGCTGCTGACCGTTCCAAGGCGGCGCCCCTCTGTGTTCCTCAGATGTATGTCTATGTTGTTTTATACTGTTTTGGTGACACTTTTGCTCGTGTCTCTTGTTGTTTCTCGTCTACGGTAAGTATCTTCCCTTTGTCCCTAGTTTTTATTTATTTTATTTCCCCCCCCCCCCTTCCCCGTGTCTCATGTCCCCTTCCCCTGTGCCTTTTGACATTATGGGCCTTATATTAAATCATTTATTTGTTTTGTTTTAGTTCCTTATAAGTTACTTATTATGTATTCTGATGTAGTGGTTTGCCTGCCCGTACTCTGCCTTGTGCCCTGTCCTGTTTTTCTTTGGGGTCCTCCTGGGCTCCTTGCCGCTGGCGTTTGTTGCTGGGTCGGGTGGGGGCTGCGTTCATTGAATGCCGCCTTTCCTTGTCGATCTTGTTTATCATATTTTGTTTATAAACAAGTCTATATGGACAAGTTAATCTATAATGGATGGCTTGAAATTAACACTAGTGATCCCAAAACAATCAATGAAGCCAACTCATCGGTCAGTAAATACCAACAGGACTATTTGTCCATTTTTTATTTATTTTTTTTTTTTTGGGGGGGGGGGGGGGTAAATGCAGAAAATGTTTGGTGGTTAGGGAGTAGTGGTGTAGTAGTGGTGGTAAGAACTGATAAGCAATCATATGGTCATACCAGTCTTATAATAACTGTCCTGCAACTTTTATATGGAAAGCTCGCTTTCAGATTAGATAATGTTGCCGTTGATGCTGAGTGTCTTGGGGACTTAGGTTTAGTGATAGTGATGGTTATGGTAGCTATAGGAAGGCCTCTGTCCCAGTGAGTAATGGTGGTGGAAGAGAAGTTCAAGAGTGGCTCAACCTCTGACCATTTAGTTATGTTGGGAGTAAGGATAACTGCAAGAAAAGCAGTGCCTGAATTATATAAGTATACCCAGTGATTAAGTTGATCATTACCTTTAGAAACAAATAACTCAAATTTAACACCACTTATGGATAATGAGACCTTGGACAAATTACTTTAAAAAGTAAGTGATTAAGTCACAATAATTTCTAATTCTTTTACAACAGTTACAATGAATTACTCTTAACTTTTCTCAAGGGATTGACAGAGTAACATTATTTTTTCATGGGCAATTATGATAACTTCTGATTACTTTCTATTGTCTCGTTTTAAAATTTGCAAAGACCTAGTATAAGTGTGATAATACAAAGCAAACTATTTTATTTGAATCAGGTACGTATGTATATGCAATTCATGTAGCAGTAGTAATGTGTTGAAGGTTTACAATTACACAACTCTTGGGCAATTTTAGCCTGGATATGCATGTTGTAGTTTATCTGTTTGGCTGACATCACAGTTGAACACTTTGTCGTAACCTACTTTATGCAAGCTTCAAGTACAAGTTACTGTTATTTAAAAAAGAAAGCCAAAACGTTTGCATAATATAATGGCCTTTTTGACATGGCCATTATGAAGCTCACGCTAAACATTGAAAAATCCATTGCCATTTCGTTATATATAATAATTAAAGGTTTTCATAATGAAACTCTTATTTAGCTTGAATTCTTTGACAATGTCATTATGAAAACAAACTCCGATTATTGACATTATAGTAGCACAGCTTTTCCCTAATGTTGTTGCTTATGGGTCAATAAATAAAATTTGTAAGTCGCTGGATAGGGCCTTTTAACTGGGATCAAAATATAATCCTCCAGATATGTATATTCAAATGATGCATTAGCCTCATTCACCGACTTGGAAACCAGTGCATGCATGGGAGGATAGGGTTGTTTGACAGTTATAAGAAATCCTTTAGTGAAGCAAAATTAAATCTAAACTGTTATATAAGTGTTATTGGTTTTAAATACTTAATATTTCCTGAATTTCAATATCGCAATAAGTGAATTGCATTGGGCAGCTCTGAGGAGTAAGAGTAAACTATTTAGAAATTTTCAGGCGGTTAGTCAAGTTTAAAAACCTTGTTGATAGAAATACTGGCATATAGTGCTGTGCAAATATAAGTAGGAATCTGAGTAGCCACTTTATAGGCTTGCATAGAGTGCCAGATAAAATACATGAAAGCTCTATATATTTAGCAAATAGGGCAGGGAAGAGTGTATTGTTCGCTGCGAAAACCCTTAATATTGTGATGGTTGAAAGGAGTAGGGACTTTCTAGAAATTTTACATTCTAGTCTCTTATATTTAAAAAGCCTTAAAATATTTAGTACTATCTGTAATATTACTTCGATATTACTATTATATTGGCCTATAGAAAAATGTCCGCCATCTTGGATTTTTCGACCATATTGGATTGTTGTTTTCTTTAATTCTGTTTTGGTGTCTAATTTGTTTTTACCTAAACATGCTTCGTGACAAATTTCAGGCTTTTTCTATCTTTAAAAGTTTTATTTGATATATCATCCATTTATGATAAAGAATTTGGCGGTTCCTATATTGGCCTTAAGAAAACGTCCTCCATCTTGGATTTTTTCGGCCATATTGGATTGGCTTTTTTAAAATTCTGTTTTGGTGTCTAATTTGTTTTCACCTAAGCATGCTTTGTGACAAATTTCAGGCTTTTCCTTTCATTAAAGTTGTATTTGATATATCATTCATTTATGATAAAGAAATTTGGCGGCCATTTTATTGGTCATTTTAAATGGCCATTTCAATGGTCAAGATCAAGTTTTTCAGTTTGGTATCCACCTTTATCGGATTCAGCATACCTTAAATAGGTAAAATACACCAAGATACCGCTTGTACAACAAAATGCCTCTAGCATCTTATAGAGAGCCAAATTCTCAAAATCAGTCCTGTCTATGATGCTTGATTACTGCTTAAACAAGTGCAAAGTGGTGTAGTATAGTAATACTGACTTTGGTTGAATATTTTCTGACTACTTGTTATTACGATCACAATTAATTTCATTTTTTATTGTTCCTAAATAGACCGTCAACGATTGACCCCCAAAAGCGATCCGTTGCTATAGTAGGTACATAAGTAGATTGTTTACTTGACAATAGAGCTACTATAAGTTTCATATCAATTTGGCTATTTTTATTTGTTTAAAATAAATTTCGAAATATTTGAAATGCCATTTAATCAACTATGTTGGCGGCTTAATTAACAAAACGGTATACTACGTTTTCAAACTCCAACTTACCAGTAACGTAATTCTATATATTTTGAATGATATAAAAAAGGAGGAAAAAAAGGAGGGAAAATACAAGTGTTGCCTGAAATGTATACGATTCAACAGTTGCATTATTTGGAGGTTTCCAATTGACAGAAAAGGGCAACATGCCACAGACAGTGGATAATAAAGGGCAAGTAATATTTTAACGTAGACTGTTACTAATTACACTGAATTATTTTCTATTGTTTGTAAGGAAGTAGGTAAATTATAAGCTGTTTATTTCATTGTGATATATACATAACATAGTATATATACAACTGATCATATACTAAGGCATTTGCACCCTTCTTATAAGTCACATTACCAAATTCATTTGAAATCACGTGAAACGTGTAAATATCAATACATAATTAATATCTTAATTTTCTATCTAACGGTAAATGACATTTCATATAAAGTTTAAGCACAACTTATTTTAACAATATAGCGAGATGATCATGGTACCTAATAATGAACGTATTGCGGATCCTCTTTTTGTGTCAACACATGTTTTTTATTGTAAAAATATCGCCAAACTAGGTATTCATGATAAACTGTAAATTTGAAAGTATTAAATTAATTTGTAAAATGTACACTTTAAATTGTGTAAATTTTACAGTACGTTGCAATTTAATGTGTAAATTGTGTGCGTTAAGGTGCATATTGTTCATAGTATAAAGTTATTTACAGTGTTGTGTCTTAAATATATAGCTGAATGTTTTAAACTCGGAGATTTGAGGAAATGTGTTAATCTGTTGTCTTGGCTTTCGATCTTTAATGTTTGAACGACAGGTTCTAAATAATAAGCATTCATGACCCATAAAGTCATAAAAAGTCAATGTTTTAAATACAAATGTAGTTCTTTTTTTTCTTCTTCATTTTTTCGCATATTTCTAGCCAAAACTAGCATACATGTTATGATGATAACAGAATAATTATAGTATGTGGTTGTAAGACATCATTAATATCATTGCTTAAACTGTTACATTTTATGCTCGTTGATTCTCAAACGCATTCATTTTTCCCCGATACAAAACTTTATTGCTTCTGTATTTGTTAATTATCGTTCTATAAATGACTGCAATTATCATACGATACCCAGCAAAGTTAACGTGATTTGTTTTAAAAATGAGACAGTTCGAGGGTTAGGTGTATATCTGTTGTGGGCGACATATAACATTTACCACGTAGGCGCGTCGCAAGGCTTCCGACAGTGTGGCTCAAATAGTATCACTTCATGGTGGTTATGGGGTCATATCCCTCCTCGCCCCTCCCCCTCCCCCAATTTACTGAAAACATATGAAATCCGAGAATGTATATGTTTATTATTGTTTAGATTCTTTTATAATAAAGATTACATTTTGTAGTCAATGAGCACAAATAAAAGTAATTATATCCACGAGTAATTTATTGAAATAGTACAAAATTCATCAGAAAACGAACATGTCAACTAATTTTTAAAAAAGGCTAATAAAAACAACAGACATTCATACAGACACAAACGTCCATAAATAGGTTGAATCAACGCGCATCAGCAACAACCATAATTTTGCCGTTTAAACTTTTTTTTTTCTTTTTTGTATATCTGCAGTTAGGCCAACTTATTAATCGGAAACAAAGAAGATATTATAAATATGAGATAAAGTTATCGTTCAGTATACTATATAGTAATCAATTTGTATATTCAGACATGGTACACGGTAAATAATAAGAAAACTATATATGATTTACATTTTGTATCAATGAAATTCTGCAGCATAAATATCATAAAACATGTATAAATACATTTCATGTACACAGATATTGTCTCTTAATGGAACTAGGTTAAATCTGAAAATCTCAAACACTCGCGAGAAAACTAAACTACTGCTGCCTCAGACCTTTGACATAAATTTGTGTAGAAACGAATTTCTTAATATGATTTGTCTTAACTTATCTGTATAATTCAGGAAAGCATATTTGTATGAATTATATAAATGCATATATTTGGGTTTTTTATTCTTGTTGAGTATGACCCTTTTCATTAAGACCATGAAAAATTTGAAAATTTCAACAGTAGTATACCTTGATTTTATTACTTTCTAAAAAATCACATCAAATGATTGACTAAAAAACACCTTATCCGTTTTTCGTTCTGATTTTCATAGTCACATTTTCAAGGTAACAACATTAACACGAACAAAACACATCATTGGAAAGCGGTTTATTAAATTTGGATTACAATTAAAGCAATAATTAATTTTAGTTACATATATAATTCATAACGATTCTAACATTAATGCTGCAATAGCAAATGAAAAAAAAAATGAAAAATTATAACTCTAGTTAATTGGCAATTACGGTGTTAGTTACGACATATGTATAGGATTAATATACTAATTTTTGTAAGAATATGATGAAAAGGTCTGTAACTAAATTTTAGAACATTAACTGTAGATGCAGGTCAATGTCATTCTCATCTTATCATATAGTATGTGTTGTGTAACTGTCTGCTTGTTAACGATCATCTTTCTGTTTCTGTTCATCGTCTTTTGTAACCTGGTCATCACCAGAAAAAAACGTGAAGGAGCAGCTCACAAATCCGCATATAAATTTCTTCATTTTGTGCTCCTCGTCTTCCATAAACACTTTCAAAGTCCTCGGTTTCAGAAGCACCACGTCTTTCTTGCTTTTAGACACGCGAACAATTTTTGAAAGTTCACTTCTCAGTGAGTTTATTTCTGCTGTCAGGGGTGTACTGTCATTCATAAGGTCATATATTGAGCTCCGCAGATTACTTCGCTCGCCGTCTTGAATTAGAACTCGGCGCAAAGCTTTTTCCAATGGACCCAATTCTCGTTCATCTGGTTTGTCTTCATAGCACGTCTTAAAAAAGATTAAAAAAATATATATATTGGTCAATAGATAAAATATAGCCCTTTCATATTTTTATTTATAGTGCTGCAAATAGACTCAAATAACTCGCTTATTTAGGGGAGTAACTGGTCCCCGATCATAAACAGGGGGTTTCATATACCAAAATGTTCGGTTGGGTCCCTAGATTAAGAAATAGGATTTCATTTTTGCCATAAGTGCTGGCGGACTAAGAAATCCAAGATGGCGTCCAAGATGGCCGCCAAAAATATGAAACTAATCATTTATTATTTATTACTTAAATTTGCGAGCATTAACTTTTAAAAAAAGTTGTTTTTTAAACATTTTGATATTAAATATATTTATTAAATTTAGTTTTAGTATCTTTTAATAATGTTAGTAGAATTTTTATGATAAAAACCGATAATTAAGGCTAAATATTTCTAAAAATTGCTGTTTTTTTTAAATATGTGCTTTACATTTTCTATTTTTTTCTTGCAATTCAATAATGATTTGTTTCCTTATGACTGATTTACAGGAAACAATTTTTTTTACAAACAAAATGTGCCAATGAAATTTATCATTTTAGTATAATTTTTAAGATAATGTGTTTTAAGTGGGTGGGGTAAAATGGATATTTTATTAAAATTTAAAAATACTTCAGATTACTTTATATTGACTGTCTAAAAGACTTGAATCTACTCCTTATTACAAATTTCAGAGTCATTGCTCAATAGACAATGCCCTAGTTGTGAAATTTGAGGAAAATACTTGTTTTTTTTTCAATTTAAAACCTGTGACTTAATGTTTTAACAGTCAATTTTTGCACTTTCTTTCTTTTCCCTCAAAATATTTTATACATATCAATTCTTTCTGGCATATTTTATCAGTATATAAAACATTGATAATTGTTTTTCTTTCCAAAACGTGTTCTACTTTAATTGTCATTTAAGTATGTAACTGAGTGGATGGGGGTACATAGCAAATGTATTTAATACTGTTGGGAATTTGCAATATTTAAAGATAAACAAAATTTAAAGAAATTAATGTTTGAATTGAAATTTCATTGCATCATTTTATCAAATATGTTTCAAAATGCAGTACTATTATATTGTCATTCGTATGAAATAAGTATTTTCCATGTTAAAATAGGAAAACAAGAGGGCCTGATGGTCCTGGCTCCTTCACCTGATATATTCTGCCAGAAAAGGTCCAAATTTTAAATTTTCAGTGTTGATTTAAAGTCAGTAATGAGGTTACATTGGGTTTGTCATTTTTTACCCTAGCTGATTTAAAAAAAGAATATTTGTAGAATGCCCAATGATGAATATCTACTAAGCCTGTAGCATTGTAGTTTCATAATTTCATAACTAAGACTTAAATGTATTTTCCTATATCCAAGTCAATATAAACTAAGTGACCCCAGGGTAGGGCTAATTTTGACCCCACAGCCATGGTTTATATTATTTTTGTAGAGTCCTTTTCAAAGAAACATCAGGCATGCACTTGGAGTCAAAAGTCCACTCTTAATAAAGGTCATTAAGTTTTAGCAGAGTTACATAGTACATGTAAAACATATTCTAAGCTTTTTATGTAAAATTACAATGCCCAAGGCTTTGATATTTGGCATGTATTATTGCTTAGTGGTCATAATACAAATGTTTGACCTCTTAAAAAATGACAACCTAATGTGGCCTTCTTACTGACTTTTGAATCGCAGAATTGTGACCTTTTCCAGTAATATTTCTCAAGTACAGGACCATAATGGCCCTCTTTTTAATACTTATTAGCAGCTTGAACGTAGTAGAGCGGACATGAATATTATGCAAACAGATTCCTGCAAACAAACCCTTTCCCTAAGCGGCAGGGGAGTAATAGATAAATTATAGCCTGCATGTTGAACAAAACTGATCTGAAGACATTTTAGAAACGTAGATGTAAAATAATTTCACATAAAGCAAACTTTAGGAAAATAGATTAACAAAAAAAAACAAAGCATCACTAGAAACTTTTCAATAAAGTCGAACTGGTAAATACAGTAACCAATAGTTTCCTTCATTACTCATTAATTAAAGGCCTCAGAAACAAATATCTTTTTTCTTCTTTAGAAAGGGCAAACATAAATTTTATAATGTTGGAATAATGGTTTTAGAGAATGTTTGGTACTTGTTATCTTACGAAAGTAGCACTAAATGTAAAATAATTTGTCATAAAAGTAAAATGTAAACAAAGTAGTATTTTGACTCCTATACAAATACTATTACTGTACTTATTGCCAAAAAGAAACAGATGAAAAAGATAGTTCTGGTAATTAGCCAATGAGTAATTATTTGGATACTATAAAAGAAAACCAACATGAAAAAGCTTTTTGAGAAATAAAAATGAAATCATTTCTGAGGCATAATGGGCCTTTAAGATTTAACTCTATGGATATTAATTTAATTTAATCCACAAAAAATTGCATCCCTTTATGCATGTCTGCTATAAGTAATCATTGTGCTCAAAGAGCGAAATCTATTTTTAAAATTAATAGTATATTTTTCATATTTCGACAATGACCAACAATTGTTATATAAAAGTAAGCACAGCAAGTGCATTTCAGAATGATAATATCTGTAACATGCAGCAGTTCGGACTGTAATATCCGTCCTAAGGTTACCTAACAAAGTCCACAGAGTTGCTGGGTAGCTCATGGGCGGTTTCAGAGAGACAGATATTCCGATCTGAACAGCAAACAGGTCTTTCTTCCATAGATATAATATATTCTATCATATTTTTAATAGTCAACCTCAATAATTAACTTTTCATGGAAATTAATGTCAATTCATCCTTTACTATTTTATTACAGTTATTAATCATTTCAACATATTAAAATTTTGATTTTATTGCATTTTCGAAACTTATAAATTTGCAACATCGTAAAATATAATATTTTCTATCCCACTCATTCAGTAACAAATATTGATAGACAATTTTGTGTATAACATATGAAAAGAAAAGCTTAAATCTTAGTATTCGGGTGGGGCGTCCGTGGCCGAGTGGTTGTGGCCTTCAAAGTTTTTGTTCCTCACCGCTGTGGGTTCAAATCCCGATAGGGACTTTGGACTCTTTCATGTGAGGAAGCTATCCAGCTAGCTTACGCAACGTGGGTGGTTCTACTCAGGTGCCCGTTTGTGCTTGAAATAATGCACGGAAGGGCACCTGAGGTCTTCATCTTACAGTAAAGTTGGACATCGCCATATAACCTGTGACGTAAAACCCAATCAAACAAACAAACTAAATATTGGTTCTAAAATTTACTAACTTTATATGTTAGAAAGATATGTGTAAATGTTCATGAAGAAGGGAAAAGAAATAAGGAACGTGTAAACAGATTTGCTGTTTAAATTTTAAGCATTTTAAAATTGAAATTATACTTATATTCTCATATTTCACAATTAGTGCATTGTCTATACAGCAATGACTCTGAAATTTAAGATAAATAGATGTAAGTCTTTTAAGTTGTCAACAAAAGGTTATATTAGGATACTTGCAGTATTTTGAAATTTAAATAAATTAATCATTCCCCATACCCCACTTAAAAATACACACTATCCCAAAAATGTAACTAAATGAAAATTTTTAATGTTAGATTTTGAATTTAACAAGAGCCACCGCCAAAATTTATTACTTTGACCATGATGGTCAAGGTCATTTAAAGGTTAAAGTAAGTTCAACCTTTTAGAAGGTCTTGTCCAAAATGTTGTTTTGTCCAAGTATGAAATTATCCATTGATTAATTACCAAGTTACAGCAAATTATTTGATAATCTGTTAATATTCAATAAATTTTCTTCAAGGTCAAGGTCATTCATGAGTTAAAGTAAATTTTAATTTAATATACATAAAGGTCCTGATCTAAAATGTCTGGAAATAAAGGTTATCAATTTATAAATAACAAAGTTATAGCCAGTTACAAAACCAAAAATGAAACAAGAGAATTTCATTAATTTGACATTAACAGTCATGTTCAACTTAACGTCAATGCCAAATCTTAATTATCAAATATATATATTGGTAACAAATTGTGTATAAATGAAATCTGTACATAAATAACAAAATTATGACAATTTAAAAATTTTACTTTCACAGTCAAGATTATTTAAAGTTCAAGTTCAAAGTCAGTTCCTACTTTTATTTCATTTAATAACATTTTTTTTGGATAATGTGTCTTGTCCAAAGTGTTGTTTTGTCAATGTATGAATATAATCCATAAATTAATTACCATGATACAGCCAATTGTAGCAAATATCAGTGGTAATTCAATTATTTTACCTTCAAGGTCAATGTCATAAAAAGTCAAGGTCAATTTAAATTTATACATGAAAGTCATATCCTAAAGAATGTTGTGTTATATATGAAGTGAATCCATTTATCATTAACAAAATTATAGCCAGTTACAGCCCCCCACACACACACTCAAAAAATAAATAAATAAAAATAAATTTTCTATAATTTGACCTTCAAGGTCAATGTTATTTATGAGTGAAGATCTAGGTCTGTCTCGTTAACTCGAAGGTCTATCCTAAAAATATTATTATGTTCAAGTTTGAAGACAATCCATTAGAAAATAACAAAGTTATCTAATAGCAAAAATCAGGAAAAAAAATAAGCAAAATTTAGACATTTGACCTTGGAGGTCAAGGTCATTTATGAATGAAGGTCAAATTTAGTCTTGTCTACTTAAAGATCTTGCCCCAAGGTTGTTGTGGCCAAGTATGAAGACAAAACATAAAGAAGATTAAAAGTAATGATCACAGTTAAAGTTTGCTGACGGAAACGTCAACACCGACATGACTGTAACAATGCCTCTATTCTTTTAATTTTTTTTTCATTTTATCTATTTTTTATTATATTTTTTTTAAAAGTCGAGCTTAACATGTTGTTTTCTTTAAAATCAGTCATTATAATTAATTTTTTATTCAAAAGAGAGAAAAAAAATAAGAAATTGTATCAAGTATTTTAAAAATCACATTTTTTTCCGTATATTTTTCGTAATTAGTTTTTGTTTCTATCATCAAAAAATATAATTACCTTAAAATACATATTAAAACTGTATTTAAGGAACACAATTAATACAAGAATGAAAAGAAAGAACTTATTGCTAGGTTTTAACTGCCAAAATTCAAGTCATATAAAGTAAATTATAATTTTCATATTTTTGGCGGCCATCTTGGACGCCATCTTGAATTTCTTAGTCCGCCAGCACTTTCGGGGAAAATGAAATTCAATTTCGTAATCTAGGGACTCAACCGAACATTTTGGTATATGAAACCCTCTGTTTATGATCGGGGACCAGTTAGGTGTTCGTAAGCTTAACAAATTTGCAGCACTATTATGCTTGTTTAGTAGTTTTGTCGTAAAATTAAGGCAACTGAATTACACAAAAAAAAAACATTATTTAAACATTCCACATGAAAAAATCTATTTCCAGTTATTTCTGATGTAATTATATAAAGCTTTCCGGTGTAGTTATTTATGTTAAAACTACATGAGTGTTTAAGATATTCTAATTTGTGTTGATTTGTGTATAGTAGCATATTTGACCCAAGATTTTATGCCGAATGTCTTATTTTCTGTCAAGTTCTTTTAGGCTTGCTTCAGTTGGCCTACGACCTATTGCTTTTTAAAAGATAAATGGTAGATCTACAGTAGTAGAGAAGAATGAGGCATACAAACCTTAATAGACTCATAGGCGCTCATAAAAAGAGCTATGAGGAGGTTGATAACAACTATCGTAAATATAGCAACATATGCTCCAAAATAGAACCTTGAAAACAACCACACCCAATTTCCTCCGCTCTTATCCGACTCCAGTATTGCTAAAGTTGCGTATATCTCGTCGCCATTAACAACAGAAAACAGCGTCTCCGCTGCTGCTGCTGGAGTTTTGAACTATAAAGAGAAATCAAAGCACTGAAAGTACTGAAGTATACATTGCTTGATAATATAATCCATTTTTGTCATCAAGGCCAAGTTTAACCTACTGCCCTCAAAAACAATACGGGTCATCTTCTGACCAAGGTCAATGTCCCTAACAAGTAACTCACACCAAGGCTTTTTTCTTCCAAAGTTATTTATGAGACAAGAAAGCTGTGATGTTCCATCTGTGTATTTCTAGACAAGCTGATAGATGAGCAATAAAGAAATCATTTTTTGAAACACCCGTTAAATGGACTGCAGTATAGAATATTGAAACAGTAATATTGAGTTTCCAGTGATGCTATCTAATAAAATGCATGATCTGGCTTGAACTCTATACAGAGTCAATTACTAGTAATTGAATCATCCTACAAGACTTAATTACCAAATTATAGTACATCCTTTTGTATAGCTTTCCATGTTACAGATCTATGTACTGTACTTTGATGCATTAAAACATATATTCTGGTGTGTTGTATTCATCTTTACACATTAATTTTCAAATGCATTACTTTAACGTGTATTAATAAAAATGAAATCTATAATCAAAACAATTCAAATGTACTGTAATATTTTCATTATTCAATTATTGTTACATATACTCTTCATATACAACCTTTCCAAGAAATTCATTTATATTGGACAGCAAGTTAACAAGGGTTTTTTCCATAATCAGGCTGTTTTACCAACTTCTTAACTTTAGATGAACCATTGAGCTAAACATTTTTTTTCTATTGTCTGTCTACTGTGACCTACTTCTGATTTTCAACAAAGGTGATCCATGTTCAAACTCGAGTAAAACCTGTCACACACATTCTTACGATGTTGTGTGACAATTGGGGAAAAAGTGTGACCAGTAGAGTGTTAACAAACTAAATGACCAGCAGAGTGTTAACAACTAAATGTCATCGTCGGATACACATGTTTGATTAACATTTAACTTGACATAACTGATAAATGTAAATGGTTCGGCCGTGGGTATCCGACGATGCTAAATGTGGACAGACCACAGTTGACATAAGATGGATGACCGACATTCAACAATCTAAAACCTCACCCTGAGCCAACCTATAAGTTTCACCACTGAAATTAATAATAAAATAATAAAAATGTATACTGCGTAATGATTTAGATGATGTGTAGCCATTATATCAGAAATAAATTATTGCTTTTCTATATACAAAAATGTATGTTCTTGCCCCTATTGAAACTACGCAAGTTCATATTTTACCGTTTAAGGTGAAAAAATTGATGTTTTTGAAAATTATCAATATTCCTTTAATATCTATTGCAAATTTAAGAAAAAAAATGTTTATAATGAAAATCAATAGAATTAAAACAGACGTAGTGAATTCTTCCATAATAAATAAGGTTATTTTCTGGAAAAAATGTGTATTGACTTTATTTTTTTTTTTTGTATGGAATTATTCATACAATGATATTTAATTATTTTCTTCTAATGAAATAACTGTTTTACATTGTTTTATATCAATTTGATTTTAAAAAGGCCGAAAACATCGAGTTCTCTATTACACTCCATCAGGTGAATTCCCCAGAGCTATGTACAGAAAGTACCGGAAAACGGCGTTTAGCTAGGTTTTCGAATTCGTGAATACTTTCATCAGCATATTTTATGATATATTATCGATTTAAAACTGATATTATTGAACCCATTTCATCAAATAACCATCAAAAATTGTTTAAATTGCTGAATTTAAGCACAGCCTTAATATTTCTTTGTATTTTAAGTGTTTTTCGGTAATTTTTGGTGTTTTTCGGTGTTTTTCGGCAATTCCATGCACCCATTTATGTAAGCAGATTAAAATAATTCCTATTTTCTGAACATAAATTTAATGTATTTATTTCTTAATGCTTACACTGATTTACAGTTAGTTTCAAATGATTATTTCTTATCGTCGAATCTGGCAACATATGCCTATATTTAGCTCCATGCTCTGGCTTAATCGTCAATATCCCAAGTTCGACGAATTGTTATGGGTCGAATGGTCGAGTGGCCGAATCTTTATTTTTACCCGAACTGAATCAGGCAATCTTCGCTGAATTTCGAAGCATATTTCTTTTCAAAAATCTAAGGCATACAAAAGTGAAAGGAAAATCATGTGTAAAAAAGGTATTCAAAAGAATAGCTTACGAAATTTCTATTTTCCGAAGCCACGATAATTGCCAGGTTTAAAAAAAAACATTTTCCGGTATACGCTGGTAAATTTTGTTACGGAGCTCCATAATTATTTTGTAAAACATTTTAGGCCAATTTTATTGCATAAATTTAAATCAGCACTTTTATTTGATTAGATATCTATCTGAGATTTTTCGTCCCATTTATATTACTATATTTACGATGTATTCATTCATGCTAGCAAGCGCATGCGTATATGCGAAGTTTAACGCGTAGGTATAAACTACGATTTTATCAATGAACTGTTATTTTTTTGTTTACTTTAAAGGAATGTAGAGTCTATTATTTCATGAAAATGAACGATTTGGAACTTTCAAAGCATTAAAACAACTTTGCAAACAATATTTTAATGATGTGTAGTCGGAATGTAACGTACGCTACTGCAGAATAAAGAACTAGTTTCTATAGCGGTTTTTATCCGGGAGTGAATGTTGTTCGGTAACGACTTAAAGTGTAACGATTTCGGAGATATAGCTTATAACTCTGTATACATTACAAAAAGTAATTTGCCTGGTCATATAAATATTCCTGGGCAATATGCATATGAGGACTCGTCTTTTATTTAATGTTGAATAGGTTTTGAACCAATAAAAGGGTAACAACTAGGTAACCCCTTATTTCGACATATAACTTAAGTTACGAGTAAAATATGACAAAGTAACGATTTAAGCTGATCATTTAATTGATTAATGCTTAAAGAAATGTAATTGTAAGAAGGGTTTTATACATGTATGTGCGATTGGTAACTATAGAAGTTCGACAAACCTTGACATGGTACGGCGCCAAAACGACATATCCACAAACCCAGAACCCGACAAACAACACTCCTACGCAAATAAGGTAGGCAATCACATCCCAAAATGCTTTGTATAGTGTACTAAATAACAGCTAAAAATAAAAATGTTATAAACTACAAAGAAACCATCAAATAATTGCTCCGACGAATGACATATTTGATATAATCATTCTTTTTAATCTTACCTCTTTTTATAAAGTTACCTTAAACAAAATGATTCAGAAAGAAGTTTTTTTTAGGAAAGGTTAAAAACTTTGAACAAATATTAACATATGAACTTCGTAACAGATAGGGATTATTTCACCCAATAACTAATACACATATTCCCTTTTAACAGTTAAAGTTTAGTATTATGTGCGGCTATAAGAATATTTGCCGCGTCAAAAAATCCCTGTTTTTTCATAAGCTGAAAAAAACATGCAGACGTTTGAAATTGCAGGGGAAAACACTAATAAGACTCACATGGAATTTATTATGAAACTTGAAGAACCTCAGCAAACTTAGCCACGCTAGTACACAACCGACTCCTAACCATACGGTGTAGGAATCTAGCAACTCCAGCTCCAATTCACTTTGCTACAAAAATAAATGTTTTAAGCGTGTACGAATTTAAAATTTGCAATCCATTTCATCATGTACAAGTGTGATGTATATATTTGTTATGCTAGTAAAATATGTTAAATCTAACGGAACGTGTGTTGTTATAAATTTTCAAATGTAACAACTGTGAAATACGTGTTTACGTTTATGTACACTGCCCATTATTTCTATGTATTAGACCACAGAATTATAAAAGCAATTCAAAAAAACAAATCACATACTGTCTTTAAAATGGCTGCATTAAAAAACATGAAAAATATTATAATTATTTATACCTTTGTATTAAACACTATCCAAATTGTCCCGTATAATGTCAATATATCGGATATCATAACTGTTATATCCCAAACTTTTAAAAACCGGAAGTACTCTGACGCTGGCAGGTCCGTCTCCTCCTTATCAACAACCCCGAAGTAGGACTGATAGTGCTTCTTCATAAACTGCTTAGTTCTCTGAAAATAACATTTTTTTCTACCAACATCCATGTTTGCTAGATGACAAGCATATCCACCAATAGTTCGTGAGAATTCGCTAATTAAAGCTTCGTCAGAGATCTTAAATGATTTGAATTTTATTGATCGTGGTCTTACCGATGTTTATTACATCGGGTGGGTCACAGCAAGTGACGACAAACGAATTTATGACAAATAATTAACATTAAAAACGTTACAGGTATGATTCATTTTGGCAATTTCTCCAAAAGAAATTTTGTTAAGTAGTATTATTATATGCTTAGTCAAAATATTCCAGTCTGAAAAAAAGTATATTTACACAGTAAATAATAAAATGAAATACAAACAATCCCTCAATAGTAACATTTTATACATTTAACAAACATTGTAATTGAATGTCAAAGGCCTGACTAGATACAATGATAAAAAGTTCACGTGCGATAACCATGACTTTTGTAGTAAGGACTCACTTACCCAGAAAGTATAAGCAGCAAAAAACATAGTGGCAGTCGTCAATACTAATGATATAACACAAAAAGCAATTACTGAGGTCCCGATCTCTTTTGAAGTGTTTTCTAGTTGCCAGTCTATAAATGGAAAATCAAAATTTGATAAATGGAAATTTAAGACATTTAAAAAATTCAAGACATTTTCTCCTGCTAGCACTATATTCCAGTTACAAAAAGTCTTTGAAAACGAGCACAAAAACGGAAATTCCGTCTTAGTTACAACGATGACAATCATCGTCAAAGTGTATGTTTGACCATTATTATTCTATGATAATCTAAACAAATATATATAAGTTTGTTACATAAAAGATAAAAAAAAATTAAAATGCGAATATTGAAATACTCTTTTGCAAAAAACAACACTATTTTACTGCACTAAAGAAGCTCCTAGGTGAACAAAGTTCAAAATTATTACAAACAATAATATAAACAAACATTATTGTTTGGGGAAACACAACTAAAAGCTAAAACGCAAATAGAAGGCACAGTCAAATTTTCTATAAAATAAATGAAATATTCACATATTTTCTTTATTACTAACCTGACAAAGGTAGATTCATGTCTTTACACTTTATTCTACTAGATCTTGTATCAAGATCAACCAACACTTGACCATTATTGTCCAGATCAACAAATTCTAGCTGTAAAGTAAAATCTTCAAAATCACTTAAATATTTTTGAACCATGTTTTCAGACCCTATGCATTTTAAAATCATTGTTACTGTTGTCTGCTCGTGGACTATGACAGTACGATCTTTTTCACCAAGTCACATGCTTTGGTATAAAGATACCATCATAGATATTATGATTTTGTCGTAGGGCTTGCTCTTTTTACTTTTTATAAGCAATAGACGG